GGTGGGTTGGGGGATAGGGTGGGGAAGGTTGAGAAGGAGTTTTGAAAAATATTTTCCCTTCTCTTGATTAGGAAAATATTTTCATCCAATTGAAGGAAAATGGGTTGATAAGGAAAATGTTTTCCAGAATATTTAAACCAACCAAACATGAAAAAATTGGAAAACATTTTCCGAAAAATATTTTCCTTCGTACCAAACACACCCTAAATCTCTTTTACTGATAAATATAGATATTGAGGAATATTGTAGATATTGATTACTTCTGTATTAATGTCCAGAAAACTGGAGCATGGCTATCAGTGCCACAATTTGGAAACTGGGACCAAAAGGGTGCATTCCCAGACTACTCTATGGATTTCTCTAAAATAAGAGAGAATAGGAAACAAAACAAGAAAGACTTGTCAAGAGCCAGTTTAGGTAATGAGAAAGAGCTCATTTTTACTACCAAAAAGGATGTAAATTCAGGTTACTCTCCCCACAGTAATGATCACCATTACCATCAAAACCGCTGTCCCACTGTAAGATACTTACTTCTTTTCTTTTGTTTTATTTTATCCTAGTTCTTTTTAATGTATTTTTACCATCTTATTTTTGTTTAAAAATAATGGAAAAATGACATTTTATAACCGCTCTCAAAATAATAGCTGAAAAATATATTTTTTTTGTATGTATGTATGTATATATATATATATATATACACATTCTGTATGTTTTATTCAAATTTTATACACTTTTTCGGCTACTGAATGTAAATAGTTTATGCCGCGGACTAAAAATAAAAAAAAGCCCTTAATAATGACATAATTCTTGTAGTGTTTAGTTAAAATTGCAGCGATGTAATTTGGTACTATACTGCATGAATACAACAACAACAACAAACCCAGTTTGATCCCAACAGGTGGTGTCGGGGGAGGGTAGTTTGTACGCAAACCTTACCCCTACTTAATGTAGATAGAGAGGCTATTTTCAATAGACTCTCGGCTTAGGAAGGGCAATTTATACTATACAACATGAATCAAACAAGTAAATAGACAATCTTTTAAATAAAAGAGTATGGCTAAAGATGGAGTGGGATACGTGATGGGGATAATGACTTGGTTTTCTATGTTAAAATGTTGACCTTTCTGGCCAATAGATGGCATTGTATCAGATTGGATGACCTAGTAGTCTTCTATAATTTGTTGAAAATTATTTCTTATGAGCTTTTACAATTGTTTTTTTGATTAAAAACAGAGATTTGATCTGTTAGACCTAGTAGTCTTCTATAATTTGTTGAAAATTATTTCTTATGAGCTTTTACAATTGGTTTATTGAATAAAAAGAGAGATTTGATCTGTTAGTCTGAGTAATTTTAGAAACTCTTGTCTCCGATTTCATGGAGGGGAGCTTTCGCGTAACTGGTAAAGTTGCTGTTATGTGACCAGGAGGTCACGGGTTTGAGCCGTGGAACCAGCCTCTTGCAAAAATGAAAAATGCATGGTAAGACTACGTACAATAGACCCTTGTGGTCCGGCCCTTCCCGGGACCCCGTGCATAGCGGGAGCTTAGTGCACCGGAGTGTCCTTTCTTTGGTGTCCAATTTCATATACTACTCTTCTTTAGGGGCGGAGCTAGCCTTTCAGTTGCGGGTTCGGTCGGATTCAGTAGCTTTAGTCCAAACCCATTATCTATCTTAAGAAATCTATAGAATTATACACAAATTATTAAACTCTAAATTCTGGCTCTGCCTTTGCTCTTCTTTGTATTTACCATAGTGAAGTATGCAAGTGTTCATTTGTCTTTCTTCTGATGACAGAGGATGAGAAAGATCTTCAACTATTTCAACTGCTGTAGTGCAAAAGCTTGAAGTTCAACGGATTGATTTCTTCCAACTTGTTTGTAATGATAAATATAGCAATGTGATTTCTCCTATATATGTTTTGAGGGACTTTTCCAAGAAATAGGAAATGTTGTGGATTTTGAGATTGTGGTGATTAACAAAATGTTCCTATGGTAGAGCAATGAAGTAATTAAGGAAAGTATTTGTTCTAGCTAGTAGTATGACTTTCTGTGAAGGAAAATATTCTCAAATCTTCCAACTGTACTTTTAGATTGTGGCTAATTTGACATAAAATCTAGAAGTATTTGAAAATTAATTTTATATATTTGAAAACTACGTATAAAAGTATTATAAGTTATAATAATTAAATAAAAAATAATAATAAAACATAAAAAAAGTATGGTTAAAAAAATAATTGGATTGACTCTCAAAATCAAAACGCCGTTAGGGATGGAGGTAGTAGAAAGGTTCTCACCTAGTCCAATCCACATCTGGGTTAATGTTGTCCTCCTTTCCTTTTCATTTAGTGTAATCACCAGTCAGAGGGTCAACAAATTTTTCATTGGCAACAACATTCTAGATTTACAAAATTTGAGTTTCATTCAATAATTGGTGGTATTTTTCACATGATATTAAAACAGCTATTTTCATTTCAAATACATACATATATGCTAGAAGCGGACCTAGGATTTGAAGGTCGAATCTGCTTTGTATAATAGTGCCTACTATTAATATATCTCTATTTTCTAAAGTCATATATATATATATATATATATATATATATATATATATATATATATATATATATATATATATATATATACACGTGGAATTCCCATGTAGCGAGACAAGGTGGGAACCACGTGGAATTTTTTTTCAAACTTTACGGTGCCGTGACGAGTCGGAACCTAAATGTTGTCTTTTGGACTCAAAATACGGTAACATATGGTGGGAAACAAACTTAGTGACCCAAATATAATAAAACGCAGTTTCCAAACCACGTTTTACCTGAAGCTGATTGGACGTTAGTTAAAACGTGGTTTCAAAAGGACATTTTCATAACGCCTTACATGAACCGCCGCTTTGGCCTCTTTCAAAATACCGTCCCCTCCCTTCCCTCAACGTTCAAAAACCAGAACCCCCAATTTTAAAATAGAACAGCGGTCCCCCCCCCCCCATACGAGCATTAAAAAACCTCGAGTGGACCCCACCCGTCCCGTAAAAAGTAAATAGTGTTGGTCCCACATCCTAGCTAAGGCCTTCTTTCATTGTGGTTGCTCGTTTCGGACTAAAATCTTCAATTCTTCAACATTCCAAAAAACATAAATCGAGGTATTCTAATTTAATTTTTTTCGAAACTCGTATAAAAAATGCATATTAGTTGTTTTACATGTGTCCTATGTTGTATTGTATTTTTTTTGCGATTAAACTGGTATGTTATTTTTATCCGGACTTAGATATTAGTGTGCTAAAAAAATATGTAAAAATTGAGAAACATTATTATTTTTTAATAAAAATGTTAATAAGTTTTTTTTACTGTTGTATATGTATTTTCGTGAATGTTTTGTGATTAAATGTATTTGTTATTTTTTATCTGGTTTATATTATTTATTTGTTTAAAGACTAGTAATATAGTGCCCTTTTAGGGTAGTAAAATGTAATACCTTTTAGCGTAGTAAAATATAGTGTCTTTTAGCGTAGTAAAATGTAGTGCCTTTTAGCGTAGTAAAATGTAGTGTCTTTTAAGTAGTGCGTAGTTTCCTTGTAGTTTAAGTATCTCTTATACTCAAAAATATGTCAAAATAACTGATAGATCAAACAAAAACTCTGTCCATTTATAGTCAACATATAATTGGTGCTACTGGGCCGCAAATATCGAGCCTAGAGCCCATATGTGAATATTTAATAATTAAATATTGTATCATTATAAAAACTAATTATTTAATTTACAAACAAACATATAAAATTATAAAACAAACATATAAAATTATAATAAAACTAACACATACGAGAATTCAGCATATAATTAATGTGGTTTAATTTACAGTAGACGACATGGAGGTGCCGCCTATTCATCCCGGACCTTCCAGCGATGAGCTACTGTTGTTACAGGGCGATCATAGGTCCGTTGCAACAGACAGGTGAACCGTTGCCATAGAGGTATTGGAACGGTTTGGCAACCGTTACATACGCTGCCGTGCCAATAGATCTAGAGTAACGGTTCTTGCAATGGTTTTCTAAACCGTTACTGTAGGGTATCTATCGCAACGGTTTTCCCTCTGCCTAAAGCAACGAGTATTTCTTTCCAGTTGCAACGGTTAACAACCGTTACCATAGCGTTTACAGCAACGGTTGGCAGTCGTTACCATACAATTTATTGCAACGCTTATTTGCAGATATCGTAACGGTTTCATTATGATATTGGAACAGTCTTATTTCTTTTGCAACGGTTATAACTACCTATTGTATTTGTTTTTCGCATATTTTGGAACGATTTGTAAGACGTATTGGGACGGTTTTCAAGACCTATTAGAACGGTTCTAACTACCTATTGTATCAGTTTGTCGCACATTTTGGAACGATTTGTAAGACCTNATATATATATATATATATATATATATATATATATATATATATATATATATATATATATATATATATATATATATATATATATATATATATATAATAATTTGTAATAACCTGGAATTTATATAAAGAAAAAGATAAAACACTTCATAATCTATATTGTCTCCATAAAACCAAAATGTTTTAGCCCAATCACATAAGTTTTACATTTCAACACTTCAAGAGTTAGAGTAAGTTTCAAATGTTGA